TTAGTGACGATATTGGCATCAGGCTGTCTGTATCTTAGTTGGAACTGGTGAAACCAGTTTTTTTCTGTGAAACAAAAACAAGAGAGTCATGCTTAGAGAAAGACCAGAAACTGTGGCTTTCCCCTACACATATCAAGCAAGGAATACTGTAGATATTGGCTTCCAGTTTAGTTTAGTGAGCTGTTAGAATGAATCACACCAACTCTATCTGATAAGTAATAGTAGTGAAGAATTGGCATCAGTCTTAGGAACGTCTTATAAATTTAAAATGGCCCCCATTTTGACTGCCCAGGAAAGGGAAACTCTTCTGTTCAAATTAGAATCTGAAACCCTTCATATGCCTTACTTACGTCCGTACTATTTTCAGAAGTGATTGTACCCATTTGGCTTTAGGGTTCAAGCATATAGTTGACTTATTCTTCAAACTGACTCTGGGGGAAAACAAACAAAAATAAAAATAAAACAGTGATACATTTTAGTCAATCCTGCACTTTGTGAAAGAATTGAGTATAAATGTAATTATTCTCAGATGAAGCAAAATTGGAGGTAAGCAGTTTTGGATCTCGAGTAGGTGATTTATAGCATGTGGTCTGAGGAATAAAAAAAGCATCATACAGACCCGTATATGTGAGCCTGTGGAGCTGAATACGAAGCTGACAGAATCTCATAAATCAGAGGTTAGTATTTTGTTGACAACTTTTATAGGTGTTGGAAACAGACCAAATAACTGACTCCAAGATTGGCTTACTTCTAAAGCTATATCACAATATCTTTTAATGTGTTTGACCATTGAGCTCGGGAAAACAAAATAGACTATAAGACACACTTTCTTGAGGATCTTTTATGTGAAAATAATTCAACGAAATTTAATGTGGGAGAGGTTCCAGAGCTGAATGCTCTGAGTGACATCTGCATTTGGTTGAACCACCATTTAGCGAAGCTTTCATTGCTCTAAGAAATAAAGCAATAACAAAGCAGAAATAATAATTAATAGCTGATATTGATAAAGCAGTTACAACGTGCCAGGCATTATGCTCAGTAGGTAACGTGAATTATCTCAATCTCACAAAAATCTGTTTCCAGAGGAACTATTATTTCCTTATCTTCAGATGAGGAACTTGAATCTTAGTGAGTTTAAATAACTTTTTCAAGATTGCATAATAAATGCATAATAGAGCAGGATTCAAATGAAGATTATCTGACTCCAGAACCCACACTTTTAGTCACAGTTTTATATGGTCATAATCTGAATGGCTACCAAGTGCCAGACATGGAGAGGTAGGTGGGGTAGAAGGGGTCAAATATGTGATGAGAGAGAGAAAACTAACTACGGGTAGTGAACACACAATGCAACATACATATATATATGTATATATATATATATACGCCTTACTGTTAAACTATACACCTGAAACTTACTGGATGTTGTTAACCAATGTCACCATAATAAAAATTTTTCTAAAAATTGAAGTTAAAGCAAAAAAATTAAGGTGCATTACTTTCCCTGGTTGAGAGGTGAAAGCTTTGAGTCATGACAGAGGAAATGTAATGAAAAGAAAGGAGTCTCAGCTATCTACTCAGCCAGAAGTACTGCTCCCAAATAGGTCATGGCTAGACTTCACATCTTTGAGTCTGAGGACAATTACTGTGGTTTAGTTAGAATTTTAATTGGCAAAGACATTAGTTAAAGTATAAGGCCTTTTAAATTAAAAGTTCCAGATACATTTCAATATCACATATTTTGTTTTTACAAGTTGAATACAATTAGTCTGAGGCCCAGAGCATTGATATCAAAATTGAACAAAAAGTGAGTTAAAAGTCTAAAGTCCAAAAGAAGAGCTGCTAATGAAAGTAAAGTCAGGCACCTTTGCCTAATACTTCAAGGTGTTGCGGGTGCTTGGTTCATTAAAGATAGACCCAAGAAGGAGAAATCAAAGTTCTAAGCAGTGATAGGCAAAAGATCAACAGGCTCCATTTAAAATATTCAGTGCGACAATCCAATATTTGTTGAGCCTCTACTACATAACAGGTAAGGGATAAAGCATTGCGAATAGATGAATAAATAATATCTGATCCCTATCTATAAAGAACTTATTTTCTGGCAGGAGTGAAAGAGGTGAGGGAAAACCTGATTATTTCAACGTAGTGATGCTGTAATAGTTGCAGCTAATATTTACTGAACATTAACTACTTGCCAGGCACTGTAGCAGAGGCTTTACATGCAATGTGTAGTCTCATTTGGTGTGCTATGGAAAATGCTATGATAGAAGTATCTACAGATTTCCCTGGGAGTACAGAAAAGGGATGGTCACAGAGGCAAGGAGTCATGCCATTTCAATAAAAACCAATATCTATTTGTTATCTATTAAATTTCTTACAGCCACTACTGTACCCTTAGCTTAACTCTTTATCCAGAGTTATGAGACCAAAGTTGATAGAACCTAAAGCTAAAGGACATTTCTGTAAAATAGACCTTTAGACAAAGGACTGTTATAGATATTTATTTTCTGGCTTGTTAACTTTGGGCAACAAAGTGTCTGCTTCTGTTGGCAATTCAAATTTGGTAGATAGAGAAGGGGCTTAGGAATGGAGAAAATGTGGGTGTAGTCCTGCCTAAAACTCAATTTCTGCATCTGAAAAGGAATGGTAACAATAATACCTTAAGGGGGCTGCTGAAGGAATAGAATGAATGGATGCATGTAAAGCAATTAGCTCCCGGCCACTGCGAAATAAACACTTAACAAACATTGCTGATTCTCAATTCTCAAAGTAAATCACTTTGAGATTCATGAGTAAGAATACTATGTGGCAACATATGATCTGATTTTCACTGGGAATAAGGAATCACAAATATTTTTTCTTGCAACTTACATGATTTCCTGCGTTGGGCAGCCGTTCCCAGGGGGCAGAAATTGAACTGTTACAATTTTGCTGAGCAGCTTGAGCACTGACTTGGAAGAGGTCGTTTCAGTGCATTTACATTTTAAATTGGTGTTAAAGGCCTCCAGAACACCTGTAAACACAGTTATTTTAATCTCTTTGGCATATAATTCATTACTAGAATTTAACTACTTTCATATAGTGCATTTAAAGGTTTAAAAATTTCAAGTCAGTTCTTCCACCCATATACCTTTAATACGTGTATTTCCGCTTGTCTGGATCATTTTCAAACATGTTTTACCAAAACCTTAAAAATAAAATTAGCTTTTCAAAAACACAATACCTACTGAAATTTGGTGGAATTATATTGCCACTCAGATAATTCTCTATATAATAAAATTTGAGAACCACACTGTGCAGACTTACAACTCACTTATAATTAATACAGTATAAAATCAACTGATCTTCACTCTCAGCACATAAAAACTGAGGACAAGAACTCAGCACAGAGTCCCTGGAGCAATAACACGCTGTAACAGTTCTTTCTCTTATCATATTTGCCACCCCCTCCCCCAATTCCCCATCAATACCATGGAAGATATTCTTCGTTTTTGTTTAATAAGTTGGTCTTCTACCTCATTTGCAAATCATTACCAAACAAAAAGCCAATAATAAAAATTCAAGACTATTTTTATCTAACAAAAATTATTAGTATTAAACAAATACTATGAGTTATCCTTCTCATGCATTTTAATGAATTCTACTTTCTTTAACCCTAGTTCCTACCACTGTGTTTGACATGTATTTGCAAATACAAGAGACTCAGCTCTCAAGGTGATTACAATTTAGTGGGGGAACCAAATGAGCAAAAACTAAAATAATACAGAATGTTATATTTCACCCAAGGTCCAAACTGCATGATGGGACAGAGGGCTTTGCCAGGAGCAATGGAAAAGTTTTATGGAGGAGGAGTAAGACGAGGGTCCTGAAGAATAAAAATAGCATGTGAAGCAAAATAACAATTGAAAAGAAAATATTTCCTGCATTTTAAGAAAAAAAATTTGTCCTCTAAACTTCAGTCAAGTGTATTATCCTGCACATCCATTTTATTCCTTCAGTTGTATAAAAACTTACCGCTAGATATTTATTTGCACAAAGATAGCCTTCCCATTTAGACTTGGAAGTCTGCTTCTTTGCAGAAAGCGTGTACTTAAGTACCCCTGCTGTACTTAAAAATGGTCACTCCAGAGCTAACCATGCAGAATTGCATTAGCTGTTCCTTGCAGTAGACCAACTGGTTGAGGTCAATCTTTAAACTCAATAGAGGGTTTGCTCAGAAGAGAGAGCACTGACAGGCAGGACAAAGAAGAGATACATGGAAAGAATTAGTTATAGCAGAGCTGAATCTGAGAAAGGGCAGGAATAGACAAACCAAGTATAAGTCACATGGACTTTGGACTTCTATGGCTAACAATCATAACAATATAAATGCTTCCAGCCTCAAGAATTAAATCCTTAACACCTTACTTTTAGAAATTTAGGAGCGGTGAGCAGTTTTTTCCTTTTTAAGTCGTATTCCCACCCCTCCTCATTTTCTAATTGAACAAAACAAATTAAAATGGCTGAAGACCGTTTCTGTTCAAAGGACAATGACGACATAAGTGAAAGTCCTCACCATGGGCTGGAGAAAGGCTGCTGACCAGCAGTATGAGAAGCAGAGATGCTGGGATAAACTTCATTCTGCCTGAAGGTGGAGTTCAGACTTCAGTTCTGAGTCTAAACTGTGGGTTCTCAGTGCAGGAACTCCTATTTATTTACACCAGTGAGTGCCCTCCCACTGCCTTTGTCAGCTGCATCATCAGATTTAAAAGCCCCCAAATACTGCTGAGTTTGCTTTTGTAAAAACTCCTCTTGCAAATTTTATGAATTTGCTTCAGAGCACTATTAGTATAATAAAATGTGGGGAGAGAAGGAAAAAACATCAGTTTGGAGGTTCCACAGCAACTTCTCTAGGGTTACTATCAATGATTGTGGTTTTGATTGCTTCTCTCAGTGAAGGGTCAACAGGCTTTCTCATAGGCATTTGAATATATGCTCCATGAAATTAGAGACTCTGTCAGACACATTATTGTGCCCCCACCACCTTCAAAAGAGTCTAGCTTTTGGTAGGTGCTCAGTAAATATTGGCATATCTAATGATTGTCTCTTTATGTACAGATCCTTATGCTAACTAGGTTACTGTTTTTCTACCAGACTTTCCTACCCCTTATTTTACTATGTGAAATATATGATTATGTATGTAATCTGACCATCATGGAAATCCTGGAAGGGGGCAAGTATGTGTCCCTTCGCTGCTGTGCTGGAGTCTTGATGAAGGGAAGAAGGCAATTGCTTTGAGGAAGTGAAGCTTGCTGGCTCTGGCATGCAAGTTATTGAGCTTGAGATTCAGGAGTCAATGGAAGGTGTCATTAGAATTTTACCAGATGCTAAACTCTTATTACAGTTTGTTTAACAAAGCATATATGCAGTTTGGTTTTGATCTGGCCAAATAACCCGTGAGACAATCAATCCACAACCTTGACTCACTTGCTAGAAGTTCTTTGATTAAAAAGAAGTATGTGGACAATGGCTGGTCTGGCCTAGAGTATGACAGGGCTGCTCTGGGGGTATACAAGTGTGCATGGATGAAACCAGACCCACTGACTCACTGAGAAATCAGAGGTAAGGTCTTCCTGGTGTGGCTTTCACAACAATTTGGTTTTTGCTATTCAGTAAGCATTGTGGATGTTCAGCATCCTAGGTGTTCCAGTGTGAATGGGAGTGGGGGTTGTGGTAATGTCACACAACCTTACAACAGGCAGTTCTCTGGTTGGCCTGAATAACTGCAGGCACATAGAACTCGTTAGTCTTCAGGCAGCCCGTTCTATGGTTTGGGCAATTCTAGTTATTAAAAAGTTCTTCCTTATATATATGTGAAAGCTGCTTCCTTAATAGTTCAGTCATTATATCAACCCCTTATCACATGTGAAAACAATTCTAAATGCTCTTTCATATGACAGCACTCCAAATATGTGAAGACACAGTCTGTCAGTTGGGTCCCCTAGGAAGCAGATGCTGAGATGGGATGATGGAGTAAAAGAACTTTTATGTTTGTTGTTGTTGTTTTTCAGAATAACTCTCATGATATATAAAAGGGGGAGGAGGCAGGAGTGGGCAGGGAGAGCCGCAGATTGTAATGCTCATCTGACAATCTATGACAACTCAGTGGGAAACTCCTAAAGTTTATGATTTGAAAAAATGATGACAGGAGCCCCACAATAGGCAGAGATGTCCAAGTCCTACCACTCCCGCAGTGCACAGCTGCTGGCTGGGGCCTCTCACAAACATTATGGTCTGGTGGAACCCGAAGCAGAGCCTGAGGATGTTAACAGCTAGAGGCTGTCAACTTCTCACAGCTGGCCAGCAAGTTATTTCTTTAAGGGACAGCTGAGTAGTGGACCTCTGTGGCTATCACACAGGGTTATATAAACTAGAGGTTAAGAGCATAAACTATGGAGTTATGTAGCCAATGGCTTCGGATTGGTCACTTAATTTATCTATGCCTCATATTAATGGGATTTATATGGGGATAATACTAATATTAAAGAACTGTTTAGAGAATAAAATTAGATAGTATACATGGAATTCTCAGAGTGGCTAGCACATAGAATGAATTCAATAGATAGCTTATCTGTCCATCCATTCATCGATCCATCCCTCCATTCTCAATAGATCTTACTAACTGCTACTCTAAAACTCACATGTACACACTTCAGAGGTAAATATCCCTATGTCTTTTAACCAAAACACATTCTGAAGTTCTCTCAACATCTTTTTTTCATCATTTATCTTCAAAAAGATAACCAACACCTGGTTTATCTTTTTAAAACCTGTCGATCTTTTTCATTGTTTCTCGTAAATCATGACTGGCGTTTCTTCTGCTTTCCCATATTTTCTCTCTGACACACACGCACACACACACACACACTGGCATGCACACACATCTGAACACCATACTATTGCAAGTATGGCTTTGCCAATACAAACTAGAGGAAAACATTACTGTTTTTGTCCTAGGCACTATTGCTCTATTAATGCGTTCTGAGACTGAATAGCAGTATTCTGGTCACTTATATTGATTTGGCAGGGGACAAAATTTCTGACTGTGTCTCTTCCATTTCGCTCTTTTGCAATTTGATCTAGGCATCCAAGTGTAGGAGTTTTACATTTGCCTCTATTATAAGTACCATGTATCTCCTCATTAGAACAAAAATGAGTGGTGCTGACATAACAGGAAGCGCATAGGGACAAAGGTACCTGAAAGAGGACTCTAAATAAATCTAAGAAATTCCGCAATTGGCTCTTGTTAAAATAGGACTGCCAAGTCAAGGAGCTAATTCCAGAATAATTCTAAAATCTGATATTGGTCCTTTTAATGCCAAAGTTCTCAGTTTAGCTTGTTCTGACCAGAGAACTTATATCTGCCAGCCCCAAGATGGGATTGGAGGCTGCACAGCTCTCTGATAGCCAGATGATTCTAGAAGTTTCAAGTATGACTCCATGATCTCATTTACATCAGAAGTATAAATTTCAAAATCTTTGAAGTCACAAATAAAAATATTTTGAGCCAATAGATTTAGGGCCCAAATGGAAACATTTTATTTTTAAAAAAGCTTTTATAGATACCTTTGTTTACAAATATAAAAACATATAACTTGATTTATATCAAACCTGAATTTTATGATCACATATATAAAACTGAGAGAAAATGAGAAAATCATGGGGAGGGTTTTTTCCCTGACTTTGGAATCAAACCAGATTTTCTCTCCAGACCCAAGAAAAGCTGGGTAGTTTTGAATATCTTAGTATTCAAATTGTGGTCCATGGACTAGCATAATCAGCTTCAACTGAGAGCTTGTATAAATGCAGAATCTCAGGCCCTACAGTTCAACAAGACTCCTAGGTAACTTGAATGCACCTTAAACTCTGAGAAGCACTGGTCTAGTATAGCATGAGCCACATGTACAGTAAAATTGTCTTCAGGGAAATATTTGCACAAGCTATCTCCTCAAGGTATGATGCACAAATTCCTTAGTGAAAGAGAACAGGACAAACATGCTCGCTGACAGCTAAATGCAGAGGAGTTAAAACAACCACAAGAAAATTATCTCTTAAGATATGAAAAAGTGAAATGTCATGAAATGGAGAGGTGGCATAACTGGTCAAAGTATCTATCAATCGAGCTAACCAATAGGCATTGAACAGAGGGCCCATGGTAAAGTTTAATGTAATTACAGGGATAAAATTCTTACAATTTTAAGTAGTTTGTAATAAAATAAGAGACAAGACGAATGCCACTGTGACCAAATTGAGAACATTTTCTTTCATGCCATTTACAAATCAACTCAATTGGAAAACAGAAACTTACTTTATTCTGTTAAAAAAATGTTTTAAAATGCTGAAAATCTGACATCTGTTTGCTTCCACAAACCTGTCAGCGCAATAGGAAAGTATTAAAACCTGGCAGGTAAGAGCTCAAGTTCTGAAATCAGGGTTTTTATCCCCTTTCTTGCCTTGTTGTGTTCCCCAACGCTCACTTTCTCCTCTGTCAATAGGACTTACAACAGTAATCGCTTCTTAGAGAGTTGTGTCGGGAACATAACAGTGTCAGATGTTTTGCTCAGTATTTGGACAAATAGAAAATACTCAATAAATGTTAGATATTTTTCACCTTTGTAAATACACGAAAATCTATTATTTTTGTTGTCTTCTTATTTTATTTATTTTACTGTAGTAAGAACACTTAACACGAGATCTACCCTCTTAAATTTTTAAGTGTACAATACAGTATTGTTGACTATAGCTACAGTGTTGTATAGTAGATCTTTAGAACTTATTTGTCTTTCTTAAGAAGCAACTTTGGCTTAGTTTGCAATGGAAGCTCCTGAAGTAAAATGTCACTTAGATTTCCATTGGACATATATGATACCTTGTGTTTTAGGTCCTTGCTCAAAAAGCCGTTTGATTGAAACTGATCACCCACACTTTATTTTTACCCACTTGCGACAAAACTACTGATCTCCTTTCCCTAAGAAGATACCTGTGGAGGTTTGTATCAGTTACAAATATACTAAAGTTTTACAAAGGGGGTGTTTTACCTTTTGCTATCATTTTCATCTCAACTGAATTGCTTACAAGTCTGTTATTTGCCAGCCAATGGTTTCAAGATCCATACCTGCGAAAAAGGTATTTTTCAAAGGTAATTTAATTCATGTTTCAATCAAGTTTTGTTCAAGTTCAACTCAAATATGGTGAATCCCAGACCTAAACCTAAAATGTGGCTATCTAAAACTCTTTTTCTACATATTAGGATCATGATTTGCCAGAAGACTGCTAGGTGGCAGTATTACAAAACAGCTTGCAGAAAGGGAAAGGCCGGTCCTCAGGTAAAAATCTTGCAGTGCTGACAAGAGAGCTGAGTTGCATATTATTTCAACATTCGAATTATTTATTTGATTTGGTTTATTGCCTTTTTAATATTGTAAGTTTTGAGATTTTTTGATTAGACTGAAATGTTAACTAAGGAGGGGAGAAAACCCCCTAAAACTCTGAAGTAATCCAACAAATTCTGGTCCAAATCCAACTTCTTGGCCCTGAGGTTACAAAGTCAGATTGTGTATCTGTTCTCTGGTGTGCAATCATGTTAGGCCTCAGCAGCAACTGAGGGT